ATAATATAGCCATACTTTGAAGGGATCGAAAAATTATTGCGAAATCGTACATTAGATGGCCATTTTGAATTTTACGAGGCTCGAATCGGAAAAAAGATACAATATTTGCAATCCACTCTTAATTGCCTTTAATTTAAGTATAATAAAGCTATACTTCAGAAAGATCTAAAAATTAGCGAAAATTTCTGTTTTCCTGTCCCCTCATACATGGCCCCTGGGGGTCAGGATGAAAAACACGGAATATATGTGAAATAGATAAATGTTGTGAATACACTACCAAAATTTCAAACAATAATATTAATTACTTTGGTTTAGAATGAAAAATTTATGATTTTGCGAAAAAGTCCCGTCATTTTTAAAGCAGCGGCCATCTTGAAAAATTTTTTTTTTTGCGTTAAACTATTCACCAATATACATCTTTCCACTAAATATGAAGAAAATCTGTCAACTAGTATTTGAGTTATCTTCCGGACAGACGGATGGACTGACTGACTGACGGACTGACAGACTGACGGACTGACGGACAGACGGACAGACGGACGGACGGAGGGCTTCACTATATCCCTAACGAACTTCGTTCGTTGGGATAATTATAGGATATCCTATGATTTTGAGGAATATCATTTTTATCTACGAGGTGATATTGATATCTGCACGAGAGAGCGAAGCGAACGAGTGCATATATCAATATCACAGAGTAGATTAAAATGATATTCTGAAAAAAATCATAGGATGTTCTTATTATCCTACACTTACAAGGAGTGTACTAAATGTATAATATCATTGCAAAATGAATTTCATGCCAAATAGAGTCAATTTGGCGGGAAATCAACAAGCGGAGTATATCGTCACAATATCCTCCGCATATTGGGTTTTCCGGAGTATATCGTCACGATATCCTCCGCCCGGAGTATATCGTGACGATATCCTCCGGATATTCATTTTGCCCATAAATATCAAATTTATTTTTTAATGTTATTATACATTTAGTACACTAAGTGTAGGATAATAAGGAATGTTTGGATTATTATTGAGCTTACTGCGATATGCTTTTCATATACATCTTGCATTGCAAAATATATTGCACCAGCAAACTTTTCATTGAAAATCCATTTGTTATTATGATGAAAATAGCCTTAAAAATGGATTCCGGGTGTATGCACCATGATCCAAGAGAAGTGCTCTATCTCAAAATGTATTTGCATTTAGTTAATAAAATTTTAACATCTAATAGATAATTGATTAATCTTTATTTGTACAAAGTTTCATTCAAATCTGGTAAAGGTAAGCGTGCCTATAAAATTTTGTCCATTACTTTTGAATCACCCCTCGTATGGTCAATTTAGGTTCAGTATCTAGTTTCTCGGAAATTGGGTCAAATTTTTATCTAGGTCAAAGGTCAAGAACTAGGTCAAATCCAGTACTTTGTCACTTTTTTCGATTTTCTCAGTTGTCCTTCGATATTTTCGATCCAGGTTTTTTTCATTGTGTTCCTCATAAAAAAGTAGGAAAGCTAGGGTCGATTTAGTTTTTTGATATCTCAAACCGATTTTGAGATATGGCGTCCAGAAAGTAGGTCACACCAAAACGTGGTCCAAATTCAATGTATGAGTTATGAATTAGGGGTAGAATTTTGTCAGGAATCCGAATCTACAAACCAAATTTCGATCCGACTTCTGGTTCGGAAGTTATTGCGTTCTGAAAACTCAAAAATCGCTAAATTTTGTGCCCATGTTAAGTCAATGGGAAAAAAGATTTTTTTGAAGTGAAAAATACGAAATATAGACTGAGTTCAGCTTAATTTAATGAAAGCTTTCAAAAGAAGGGAACCTCAAAAGCCATCTAGCTTCAGAATTTGGACACCAAAATTCCTAGGTCAAAATCTAGGTCAAATTCAAAGGTTTCCCTTATTTTTGCGATTCTGACACTACACTTCAATTATATTCTTCGAAATTGTGTATACATGTAGAGTGTGCTAATAGTGTTAGCCTTTTGCCGTCAGAAAGTATTTTGACCCACTTTTGAGATATGGTGTCCGAAAAGTAGGTCAAAATAAAAAGTTCTCCAAATTTAACGTATGAGTTATGAATTAGGAGTAGAATTTTGTCAGGAATCCGAATCTGCAAATCAAATTTCGATCCGACTTCCGGTCCGGAAGTTATGGCGTGTCCGAAAAGTAGGTCAAAATAAAAAGTTTCCAAATTTAACGTATGAGTTATGAATTAGGGGTAGAATTTTGTCAGGAATCCGAATCTGCAAACCAAATTTCGATCTGACTTCCGGTTCCGAAGTTATGGTGTGTCCAAAAAGTAGGTCAAAATAAAAATTCGCCAAATTTAACGTATGAGTTATGAATTAGGGGTAGAATTTTGTCAGGAATCCAAATCTTTAAATCAAATTTAGATCCGACTCCCGGTTCGGAAGTTATGGCGTTTTGAAATTTAGGAAAAGCGATCTGATGGTATCCTGATAGAAAGTCAAGAGTAGAGAAGAAAATATTGAAAAATTCATCCATCCTTACTATCTGATCCTATCCTATCCTTTCCTTCCTATCTATCCTTCCTTCGTATCCTTTCCTTCCTATCCTTCCTATCCTCTCCTATCATATCCTTTCTTCCTATTCTGTTCTATCCTATCCTTCTTTCTTATTCTATCCTATCGTTCCTTCCCATTCTATCCTAGCCTACCTTCCTATTTTATCCATCCATTTTATTCTGGATGACTCAGCTTATTCTGGATGACTCGGCTTATTTTAGATGACTGGGCTTAAAAAAGTCTAGATCTGGAGTCTGAAATTGAACTTCGTTCAATTTCCAAAGTCTAGTTATATTTTGATCTGCTTTATTGAGATCAATTGCTCAAATAGAGTTTGCATTAAAGTGACAGAAGAGTACTGCATTCATCATTTTATATCACAGTGAGGAAGCACAAGGGGCAACATTTGAAAACACATAAAATAAAAGGATTTCTAAAAGGTAACTCAGGACTTATAACAGAACTGTTGTTCTTCAATCTTAACAGTGTAAATTAGCAGATTCATTATAAAAGACTACGAGCTATCACCATCTACTTCAGATGATAACATTTCAGGCATATTCTTTGAATTTAAAATGTCAAACTCTGTGCATTTTCTTTTGCTTTTATAGCCCTCATGCCACAGCCTAGGAACCAAATAGCACATGCAACGTGTGCACATGAACCGACAACCCTCCTCCCAATTGGGCATGTGCAGTACCATCCAGTGATCGCATCAATACTATAATGTACATCTTGATTTGGGTTGTACTCCACCCATGTATGGTGAGATTTGGAGGACACAAACCTTGATTGAATTTTTACACAAATGAGGCCATCTCTTTCCTTCATAACCATGATGGTATATTTCCCATCTACTTGAAGATGCTCATCTGTATATCGTTTAGATTGGTTGACTTGATACACCCCAAAAGTGAGTTGACGTAAATCATCTTCTGTCAAAATGGGGAAGTCATCAAGAGTGTCCATATTGCCATCTACTAGTTTCTTATAGCCTTATCAAGTCCTTGGTCTTTGATTTTCAACATGAGAGCATTCTCCATTTTTGCCTTTTCTAACATACTCCTTGCTAAGGCCTCATCTCCGGGTTTATTAGAAATTAGATCTGGTCTGAACCTATTGCATATACTTCCTATTATTTTGAGGTAATCCATAATGAATGGGATCTGGGTATTTGAGACAACATTATTGAAGAAAGCCCATTTCTTTAATCGTCCATTGACACTTTCAATTACCCGTCTGATTTTTGTCACCAATCGCGTGCCATTAGCATCAGTTGTTTCTTGGGGGGCGCGACCTGGAGTCAACACAGGCATTTCTGTTAATATACCACACTCAAACAAGAACTCCAGCACATCACGAAATCCTCTATCAACAATGAAAATATCTGCTGGTTGAAGCCATGATTTAATACTCTCCATGTTAGACTTAATGATATGCTCAGTAAAGTCATTGTTAGATGCCAAATATGGCCCTAGAATAGACATTATGTAGCCTGTTGTTGTACATATGACCATTGGCTAAGGAGTTTTCTACCCTCGTGCATACTGTAGCATTTTCTTTGAAAGGAGTAATTTGCACTTTTCTCAACAAAGATATATGTTCCTTCAAGAACCAACATCACACCATCAGATGTATCAAAAAGGATCTTGGCTATATCTGAAGAATGAGATTTTATAATTTCCTCACGTGATATAACCAATGTTATTTGGAATAAAGTTGGTCATCAGAGAGGACCTTGTTGCATGGATGGCACGTGATAATTATTTTGACATATTTTTGGAAGGGTATTGAAGTAATGTTGTTAGAAACTTAAGGGAGAGGCCACCACGGAGTTTCATGAGAAGAGTGGCCAATGCCTTCCTTGGACTTCGAACTTTGGTTGATCTGAGCAAGGTGCAAGTCAATAGTTCTTTAAACTGATCTCTGCTTAGTCCAGTCAGTGTGTAATATTCTTCTCTGTTCATAGCAAATGGATCATCAAAATCAATTCTCTTGTTTTTATTTTTAGACTCTTTGGCAATCCTGCGTACTTTGACAAGCATTTCTATCAGTTCAGATGACGTCGTGGATGCATCAACCTTAAATCCAGAGTCCCTGTTAAGTTGTTAAGCAAGCCACAACTTAACAGGGACTCTGGATTTAAGGTTTCCCCGGGAAAAACATTGTAATCCAAAGAAAACGATAATAATAACGAAACAGAATATTATGTTTGTCTTGGTATAACAATTTGGTATACCCTGTATACTAATGATTACTATTACTCACAATGCCTGATGTCTCCAATTATCACTTTGTAAGGACTTGACAATTTGCATTATGATACCATAACATCATAACATAATAGTATAACATTATGTCCATGTATGCCACCTTAAAGAACAATGTGATTTTAATACATAAAATATTAACGTTTCTACACAAATGGATATGAGGAATATTCTGGAGAACATCTTAAGTTAAAAGGATAACTGGATTGTCTAGCTTCAAGTTCTACATAAGAAAGTATTAGCATGGGAGCAGTTTGTGGAATAGGTTAATATTTACACATATTTATTAAATATTTTCATTTCAAGATGGTTGATTGACTTTGTTTCAAATTTTATAGACTGGTGCTTTATCGGCTTGGGACTTCAGGTCACCTTATTTGGTGCAAAGTGTACATTTTAATATGCGCTCCTATAACTCAAATATCTGTGGATTGATTTTGTTCAAATGGCCACTATCTGCATGAAAAATGTAATTTTTGATCTCAGTCATCAAATTTGGTACATATTAAATTGGCTAAATGCCTGATGAGTATAGGACTAGTATGAATGCTCAATTCAAAATCCACTTTGTAGAAAATATGAACTTAAAAAAATACCAGTTGTGAGATTTGTATTTCTTTTTTAATGAAATATTCCGAGTTAAAAATGACCGCCATTTATCATGAAAAATGTAATATATTTACAACTTAGATGAGTACCATGTCATGGATATAGATTTTACCAAATACCAGTCAGATTGTATCATTTAGTGTTCAGAATGATGAGTTATTTGATGAATTATGTTTTGTTGGTTTTCACATTTCATTTGATATATATTTTCCCTGTCATCAGAATGGATTATTTTTATGTTTTTCTAAACTACACTTTTTTGGGTAGATGATGATTTAGCAAATAATCATTCATAGGGTTTAACTAAAAAAGTCAAAACTGTATAATGACAAGTTGTCTGTATATGTACATTGACAATTGATGGTGTTGACAATTTCATTGAAATTAATATTATTCCTCTCAAACATTAGAAGAAGTAGAAGGGCTCTAAAATTGCTCTTCTACTTCTAACTTTATGGAATTGCGTCTGCTGCATTTCTACATCTACAACTGACAGCATGTATAAATAAAATGCTTGGTGAAAATCTTGATTGAACATGGATAAAACTATTTCTGAAGATGTAGTCTCCATCGTTTATATAAAACAATCTGATATCAGGAGAGGTAAATAACATTATTGAAGGCAAGCTGTGAAGTGAGTTATACCATTGATGATGGTCAATCCGCAAAATTAAATAGCCAAAATTTACCAAATCCACCAAATTAATAGAGCCAAATTAAAACAATTTGCAGTAACTATATGTAACCTCAAGTGCCAATGGGATAACACCAAAAATGTTAACAAAACACAAGAAAAGTAAAACATGTAGGTGTATATTAGTCATAAGGAAATTAGACCCCATTTATCCCAAATCACAATCCAATGTGACTTTTTGGGTAGGTGATGATTTAGCAAATAATCATTCATAGGGTTTAACTAAAAAAGTCAAAACTGTATAATGACAAGTTGTCTGTACATGTACATTGACAATTGATGATGTTGACAATTTCATTGAAATTAATATTATTCCTCTCAAACATTAGAAGAAGTAGAAGGGCTCTAAAATTGCTCTTCTACTTCTAACTTTATGGAATTGCGTCTGCTGCATTTCTACATCTACAACTGACAGCATGTATAAATAAAATGCTTGGTGAAAATCTTGATTGAACATGGATAAAACTATTTCTGAAGATGTAGTCTCCATCGTTTATATAAAACAATCTGATATCAGGAGAGGTAAATAACATTATTGAAGGCAAGCTGTGAAGTGAGTAATACCATTGATGATGGTCAATCCGCATAATTAAATAGCCAAAATTTACCAAATCCACCAAATTAATAGAGCCAAATTAAAACAATTTGCAGTAACTATATGTAACCTCAAGTGCCAATGGGATAACACCAAAAATGGTAACAAAACACAAGAAAAGTAAAACATGTAGGTGTATATTAGTCATAAGGAAATTACACCCCATTTATCCCAAATCACAATCCAATGTGAAATGGTGTCTATTTCCCCCATTCCTACCATTCAAGTACCCATATCACAAAAAGAGACCATAACACCAAGGGACAGAAGTCTTTACAATACATGTTGAATAATGAATTTATAATTGATTGTCAATACTCAAAACATCAAAATAAATCATCATAATCCATAGAACATAGTATTTAAAGATAGAGATAAATGACAGTATTTGGAGGATGTATACCTGATATTAATGTTTGGCATATTTGCTACTCAATAAAGGAAAGAATGCAATAAATAATTGCCGGGGAACTGACTCAATATTGATTAAATCTCTGAGAAACTGTAGGACAGTGATTTTTAAGGCTGTAGGGTGACAATGGTTGGGTGCATTCTCGTACTAGTATTGTTTTTTCTTGTTCATATTTAAATCTTTTTTAATATTCTTATAATAAGTGAATCTTAACTGAATTAATTTAGTTGCATATATTTATGTTTTTTTATTTAATAATTTGGAGATCAAGTGTTGCTTTTAAATACAGGTAGTTACACGAATCATCACAAGCGTATTATGAAATAAGTGTGTATTGATTTGGGCTAATAATCCTTTTTTATTGTAGGCAGTACAATTGCTGAGAAGGCTCATGATAAGCCTGTGAGAAACCCAAATAAGGATAGAATCAGAGTAACAAGTCCATCATTTTCCTGGCCAAATTTACAAAGAATAAACAAAGAACAAAATCAAAATTTTGAAGAGGTAACTGTTTGTTCATGTAGTTTTGTTTTCTTCTGATATGGTCTTGCACATTTTCGACCTTGGTAATTTATTTCCTTAAGGAGTTGTAGTTTTTTAAAGAACAAGTGTCGGTTTGGTGAACAATCTCTCTGGCTAATGAGTATATTATGAAAAATATAGAAATAACACTCAAATTAAATTATGAATATTCAAAAGAGGACATTTAAATCTACAAGATGTAAAAAATCAAAATTGTCCAAAGCAGGCGTAAGGTTCAGTAGACTGACAAACTTCGTTCTCCAAACTGAGACTAGTCTTTCATTTTGCCCTTGTCTTTAAAGACACTATCTTTACAAAGGAAAATTAATAGTGCTTGGGTGATCACATCCCCTTGACCACTTGATTGCCAGATTAAAGTGATTTAAAGTCCAATTAGGCGAGCTTTCTTTTCTGTTCAAAATCTTTTTGATTTGTCCTAAATATTTCTTTAAGATTATAGAGACTTCAGATTATATTGTGTATTCATTATTTTTCCTAATTTAATATTTGGTCCTTTTTTTACTGTCATATACTTATTTGTTGTTTAGCTCTTTACTTTAGCTAAAGTAAGTGTTGTTTCCTGCTATTTGTTAAGAAAATTATATGAGACTGTAGCGTCATTATTAATTTTTTGTAAGTTCGTTTCATCTGAAATTTTGCCACCTGGCTTGAAGTGCCAAATTATTACTTTGTCTTCACTGAATTTCCATCATTGATCATAATTGAATATTTTTTTGTACAGGGTATTGAAAAATTGCAACCCACATAACAATGCAAATATATAAGCACAAGTGCCAAAGGGAAAGGACACTTTTCTGCAGTCTTGCACAATTTGTGAAGTGTTTATATGACAAGTGCATTCATATGTATATATGGCTCTTATCATGAAAGATAATTATGTGTCAACAGGATTAAATATTCCTAATTAGTGTTAAATGTGATGTAATATGTGCTCTGTCAAGGACCATGTAACAAAATCAAAATGTATAGTATGGGATTAACCATTTTATTGCTAAATTCAAAACTAATAATGAAAAATAGTTTTATTAGAGCATAGCAAAATAACCTGTGTCTTAATCCCCATATACATGTATATTGAGTATCCATAGCGTAAACATTTTCATGTAATTGATTGTTGGATGTACAGTACTTCAGACTACTAGTCTATTAGTATTTCAATTATATGCTATTTATTTTCAGAGTTCTGGATATACTTTGAGGAGGAATGAGTTACACTCACATCTTTCAATCACTGCCAAATTACTTCCACCAAATATTGATTTTATATTGCCAAAGAAATTTCTGAAAAGCAAACTGATAAAGGACATACACCATTACCCAGTGATAAAGGTGCTATATAGGGCAAAGAGAATATCTGATACTTACGCTGGATATGAAATTATGGACCCTTTGATTGATTGGGGTAATATAGCTGTAAGAAAACAAGGTTGGTATGAAACAAGAATTATACATGTGTCCACAGTCCAGGCAATTGGATGTTAAACATCCAACAAATTGCAATGCTTTATTTTGTGTATTGATATCAGTACACTGCCAATCTCAAACAACATCAAACAGCGCTGTTTACGAAACAGTGCTGGACAGTGCTGTAAAAACAGTACAGTACATGGCTGTTTTCAAAAACAGCACTGATCAGCGCTGTAAAAACAGTACTGTACTACGCTGTTCAAAACAGGTGATGCTAGAATAGCATTGTACATCGCTGTACAGTGCAGTACTCAAACTGCACTGTTCAGTACTGTTTACAGCGCTACAAGATGATGTTGCGGATTGGGAGTGTAGGAAAGCATATCAAAAATTTAGAAAATTATGAAGTGGGCAAATATTAAAGTTCATTCTCTATGTACCCCCTTCAACCACATCCCAAATTTGAATATGGGTTTGTTTTCTCAAAACTTAATTTTAGTGTTATATAATTTATTGAGAGAGACCCTACAGTCCCTCAGGTGGATATGCATATCTCCTTCTGGATAAACCCCATATCCCAAACTTCCCAGTACATAACCGGGTTTGTAGAAAACCAGGTACCGGGTAGTAGATCCTCCATGCTGGGTTCAAACTTGGTACCCAGTACCTGGTTGAAAAAAACCTGTTACCCATAAAAAACGAAAAATACGAATATATAATTATGTTATATATTCGTATTTTTCGTTCTTTGGGGAACTGTTTTTTTGACCGGGTACCAAGTTTGAACCCAGCATGGAGGATTTATTACCTGGTACACGGTTTTTTCTACAATGTATGTATGTACATTGTACCAACTGTAACAGGACTGGCCTAACATTTAACTCCTTAACATCAAGTTTAGCTCCCATTGTGCTGACCTTGTCTTTCTTTTTAAAGAATCTTAAGTGACCAGTTTCTCTATTGTTGATAAAATGTCTGAAAGGTATTATTATGTAGTTTCAGAATCAATTCTCTCATTTGCTATCCTTTTGGATGCAACAGCTTTATATGAATTCTAGCTTGTAAAAATCCACATAGAAACTAGGAATTATGTTTCTGTCATCATAGTCTTTAGTCTTTACCTGTAGAACCTGTAGCATGAGAAGTGAAACATGTTTTTGGGAACCCTTTCATCATCTACCATTTTATCTGATCCTTATTAGTTACCTTTAATGAAACTGGTACCTTGGTAATTGTTTAGCCCATTTATGTGTTTTGTGATGGCAATAATTATAAATAAACTCATTTAAATATACCAAACAACTACTAATAATGAAAAGAATTAAAAATTATTTGAAATTAGCAAAGATATACTGGTATTGCTTGGCCATACAACATCCAAAGATACTTTTTCCTGTTTTTGTCTTTTTCTTGCCTACTATGATTCATGTTATTTCCAGTGTTAATAATAATTTGCACATTAATTAGTAAGCGGAGAAAAATTCAATTGTGTGATAATATATTATTCTGATTCCACAGGTCAACCCACTATAGCATTGCTGGGAGATAAATTTAATAGTATTGAGTTTAGTTATGTTGTAGTGTACAGTGATATGTGTGTAGGCCTGTGATTTGCTCCCCGTAGTATTTCCCTAGGTTTGAAATAAGTTTGTAATTGTTAAAAGTGTTAAAAATAGGGGTTTCCAGTATATACAGTGACAATGTAGTAACATGTACAGATCTTGATTCTCCCACTTCAATAATGTGTCGCTATTTTGACACTTTAATACCAATTGTCATGATAGGCAGGTGCATGACCACAAATAATCAAAAAATGATCAAAGTGTACACACATACATGTTTATCCAGCATCCAAAGGCATTCATAATATCATAACATTAAGATATTGGCATACTTTTTTTTACAGAAACTTAAGGATAGGCATATTTTACCATTCGAATATTTAGCTGAAATTGACTTTTTGTCAGATCTTTGAATATCAATGGTCAATTATTCATGTGCCAAAGATTTACCATTTTTCCTAGAAAATGTGACTTTCTATGATTTTACGTGATAAACAATAACAATATATAAGCGCAAATGACAAAGGGAAGGGTGACTAAAAACTATAAAGAAACCCAACAAGAAAAGCAAACTGTAAGTGTAAATCTGTCATAAGAAAAGTAGACCCTATATATCCCAAAACCATGATCTAACATGAAAAGAAACAATGTCTAACATCCCCCAATTGGCATGATAGGCAGGTGCATGACCACAAATAATCAAAAAATGATCAAAGTGTACACACATACATGTTTATCCAGCATCCAAAGGCATTCATAATATCATAACATTAAGATATTGGCATACTTTTTTTTACAGAAACTTAAGGATAGGCATATTTTACCATTCGAATATTTAGCTAAAATTGACTTTTTGTCAGATCTTTGAATATCAATGGTCAATTATTCATGTGCCAAAGATTTACCATTTTTCCTAGAAAATGTGACTTTCTATGATTTTACGTGATAAACAATAACAATATATAAGCGCAAATGACAAAGGGAAGGGTGACTAAAAACTATAAAGAAACCCAACAAGAAAAGCAAACTGTAAGTGTAAATCTGTCATAAGAAAAGTAGACCCTATATATCCCAAAACCATGATCTAACATGAAAAGAAACAATGTCTAACATCCCCCTCCCCCTCCAATCAAGAACCAATATCACAATCAAGGACCAGAACACCAAGGGACATTTCATTCAAACTGAAGTCATTACAATACATGTTGAAGAGAAATTGAAAAAAATGATAGCCATACTCATAACATCAAAAATACACATTCATTATGTTCACTAAATCTGCTTCAATCTTGGATAACTGTTTAAATAATGTATAGTACAGATTCATATCAATATCTAGTCACTATGGTATTATGTTATACTAGCATCTTTTTTAACAAATGTTCTATGCATCCGTCTTTCACCTTTGCTAGCGCTCCTGAGCATCAGGCAAAAGTCACTTTAAATATATGGAGGACACATGAACAAGCATTGATATTCAAAGATCTGACAAAAGAGATTTAACTCAGTTATAGCTTAAATATTTGAATGGTAAAATATGCCTCTCCTATGTCAATAATGTATTGTTATCATTCTTTTCTAGCCTTTTAAAACAGTTGCAAAATGTTTTGGCACACCCTGTATACTGCTGCAACCATGGAACGTATAGATATTTTGAGATATTAATAATGTTTTAAAATGAATATATAAAAAAAGGAAAAAAAATGTGCAGAAATGAGATTGAAGAGAAATTGAATTAAAGAAAACTGAATAACAGAGATGAGTAGGGAAGCTAGTGGGAGTCAATCTCAATATTCCCTTCCCCCAATTGCTACATTATTCCCCCTAAAAATAATACGTCTGGAATATTTAAGGGCAAATGACAAAAAGAAAATACTATAAAAATAGTTACAGAACACAGCAAGAAAAGGAAAACATCTAAGACATAAGATTACACCAGTCAAAAGAAAACAAAAGGAAATAAACCCCAACTATCCAAAATCATAATCCAATCTGAAAGGAAACAGTGTCTAATACCCCCTTGCCCTCCATTCAAGTACCAATAGTTTTCTGTAATATTAATTTTATGAACATCATTAGGACATAATTTATTCACCTGGAGTTGCTCTTCCTAGAAACATGTTTTGTCATATTGTAAACTCTCGCCAAAGCGTTAGATGAAGTGTAAACTGCAAGGTAAACTGCATCTAGGAGAACTACAAGGTCTACAGGATACTTTAATGTTTTGTGATTCACTGCACCTGACATTGAGATTGGCAGAATCAAGAATTTTGAACTTTGTTTTTCTTCAGATTTATTTTCAAGATTTAATTCACTTTTTCAATGTTCACTTTCATGTTACATTTTCTGATACATAGTGTATTTATCAATAAAGTTCTCATGAATGACAGGTGATGTAAAAGTTCTTTTTACATAGATTGTCACTGGGCAGACATTTTTAAAATCCCTAACTTACTAAATGAAATGCCTATTATTCCTTACACATTGGGTTTGTAGAAAAAACCAGGTACCGGGTAGTAAATCCTCCATGCTGGGTTCAGACTTGGTACCCGGTATCCGGTCGAAAAAACCGGGTACCCAAAAAAACGGAAAAATACGAATATATAACATAATTAGATCATTAGAAAACGTGTAAGATTTGTTTTGAATTTACAAAAAATGTATGTAACTTCCTTCAAAATTGAGCTAGAAGCTTCAAATAAAAAGCATTTTAAGGCTCTACCAAGAGGTACCAAGTCTGAACCCAGCATGGAGGATTTACTAGCCGGTACCTGTTTTTTTTCTAAAGAAACCTTACACATTCCCAGGGACAAATAAACAATTCTTGCACGAAACCATCATTTATCTTCTCCTCCTCCAAACAAAACTAACTTCATTAGTCCACAACTGTCAACTTTTGGATGACATCCCTAAAAAAGTTCAAAGTAAGCTGGAAATGTGCAGAAATAAAACAGGAATTATCAAAGGGAAATTGAATAGAAGAAAAATGAATAAGGAAGGTGAGAATGGTAGCTAGAAGGGTTAATCTTAATATACTCTACCTCGTAATCGCTACATCACTAATATAAAGGTGATAATATATTTTTAGTTCCCTCTGTTATGCCATCTAAGTTATCTGGATCCTTCAGCATATTTGCACTGTTAGAGAAAGAGGAGCGTGCTATACCTAACACAGTAAAGCTACATGCTCTCAACAATGGAACACAGGTAATAGTTTTATTCAGCCTAACGTCAAATGATCTTAATTGAGCTCTTACTCTTTTGTTTTAAAGAGATAAGTAGAGGAATTAAACTTAACTTAAAAAATGATGCACTTAAGTTAAATCCAATATTGGTCATATTCTTATTGGTAACAAAAGTTGGCCAGTGAAATGAGAAAGTAGAAAACTGTGCTGTTACATGTACTTACAATGCAAAAGGAAGGTTTGTTATTAACCACTACTTTACACATTTTTCAAATATCATAATTACTTAACATATGGTGAAATAAGATACATTGAACTTGTGCAGATAAAGAATTTGATGGGTCGAAAAGGAGTAAAATAATGATAGTGGTTTTATGTCTATACTGCAGTCATGCAGTTTAAACCCTCCATCTTCTGAGTATGTAATTTGAAACACATTTTGCCTCCACAAATAGATGGAATCATAGATGAGATATTTCTGCAGAGTCCTTTTTCTTATTTTCTAGATTTCTCTCTCTGCTGATATAAGTATTCACAGCCAGCTGCCAGACCTGGTGTATATTCCTTTGATTAAAAGGATTGGACAAGAACAGAGCAGACTTTCCCAGCCATTGGTGAGTCATTATTTGTGATGTATTGCAAAATTAGGCATAATTTCAAAAACTATTATTGAGAATTAATGAATAAAATAAGTGTTTAATATTACATATTTATACATGTGTGTATATTAATATTTGAATGTGATACAAAATTTGACAGTGTCAAAGCATTTTTAAAGCATTTTATAGTGACCATCGTAATTTTTAAACTTCAGAAGTAATCATTTTAAAGAATATTTTACCTGGATCATGACTAATTTTACTGCTGTTATAAAAGTGTAAAAAAATAAATAAATAAACACTTATCAATACTGATGATCGTTATTGTGGCTGTTGATGAAACATAAACATGAGTATTCATCAGCATATACATGTATGACTATTTAACCTTTAATAAATTTCTCTTAAGACTAATTGCAATGGTGAAATGGTTTATGTAGTAAGTCAGGAATACAACGCACAGTTATAGCAATAAGACCCTTAAACAATACTAATTAGTACAAATAATTGGTATGATACACTACAATATGCTATGCACACACTACCCCATACTGTAGCCTGTATTTCTTTAAAAGGGAAACCGGCTACAGTGAAGTAGGGTAGGGTAGAAATTGCAGGAATGCATGAGAACCAAACAGGATTAAGCTACCTTATTTGTAGTGTGGGTTCTTGCTTTAAATAAACATTAACCTTTATTTTATTTGCACTGTCATTGCATCAAAAATAATTGCTATTCCGGGATAGATTACATTTACACAAAATAGGAAAGCTCTGATTACCATTTATAGTTCACTTGTATAGTCACAATTAAACCATTGCAATATTATCTGGAAAATTTCATACAAGATACTTAAATGTCAAGTTGCAGATTATAATTTGGATCAAAGGATAGGCATCGATATGGTGAACCTAATTCAACAAGGTTTTTCTATTAAACCAATTAATGAAAACATTCTGTAAAAAAAAACATATGCCTTTACGTAATGTTGACTGATTGACAACAAAATATTCTTTTAACTGTTTTTGTTAGCATGAGAATGAAATAAAATGTCTTTCCTAAGCTTGTTCGAAAAAAATAGCAAATGCACCATTTTCTTAGACCTCTCAATAGTTATACAAAGGAAATTTTGGTCGATTTAACAAAAAGTATTAAGAAAAAAAAATCAAAATAGATAAAAATTAAGATAAACCTTATATTAACAAGATACCTTTTAAATTAACCAAAATTTTCTTTGTACAATTACAATATTGAGAGACCTAAACACGTTGTGTTTATGTCGTTTTGTTCCAATGGAGTTGGGAAAGATGTTTCATTTCATTCCGAACATATGATACCAAGAACAAAAGAAGTGTCTGATATGTTTTCTAAAACAATATAGAGAAAGGTATATTTTTTTTCAAATTATTCTGTTACCATTCAAAAGATGACCAATAAATTGATGATGTGTAAAATATTTAGAATTTTTTGATATCTGGTTTAAGAAAAACGTGTGTTCAAAAAAAAAGTTCACCATATCGATACCAATCCTTTAGGGACTGTAGTCAGAATACACAAGTCAAAGTAACATTGGTAATATTTTAGACTTCTTTCAATGTAACAAAACAGAAGGACTAAATATAGATTTTTATATTAAATAACATGTACATACTTACGAATTGAAAACAGTATATGAACAAGAGCGGGCTATGAGTATTATGTCATCAATATATGTTGTGACATTTGTTTGGGGGATTCCTGACAACGGCCAAACACTTACTTTCGTTATTAGAGCACTTTGACCGAATACTAGTAGATGGATCGGCTTTGTGGGATTTTTCAAGATGGCCGCCTATTTCACATATATTTCTGAGTTTTTCAGCCTGACCCCCAGGGGTTGTGTAGGGGGATCTTGAAAATAGGAAATTTTAAGATCTATCTGAAGTATAGCTTTATTATACTCCAATGAAAGGAAATTTGGAGTAGATTGCAAATATTGTATCATTTTTCTGATTCAGGCCTTGTAAAATCCAAAATGGCCGCTTAATGTTGGATTTCGCAATAATTTCCTGATCTCTTCTCAGTAGGACTATATTATACTCAAATTGAAGGAAAAGAATAGATCACAATTATGTTGTAGCTTTTCTGATTCTTGCTTCAGAAAATTCAAAATGGCTAAAAAAGCAAGAAAATGCTATTACATTCAAAGTATGGCTACATTATACTATATTAGATCTCAAATATTGTATTGATTTTATGATTTGTGGCTTAGAAACTCCTCAGTGGTCACCCAAATGCTTAAATTGGAAATCTGATATATCTCTAATGTATGACTTTTAATATCTGCCAATTTAATCAAGGTTAGAGTAGATGCTAAATATTACATTGTGACATACATTTATAAAGATTCATGAATATAGCATTCATTGGGATTTGCTACTCTGTGGAGTTGCTTGCTTCCAGTTACATTTAGTTTATGAAAAGGAATCAACTTCATGGTTATCCTCAAAAAGTTTTTTTAACGTTTTCTAAAGCCTAGATAATTATATACATCCTTTAAACATACATTATAAATGGTGACTGAGATACTTACTTTTTGCATTCATATTTGTTTAAAAAATCATTGTTTCTCAGTCACTAGTGAGACAAAGATTTTGACTCTTTCAGGATCACTAGGTCCACTCCTAAGCCCTATACATAAATTGACTGCCATTGACTATCAAAAAAGTTATTTAAAAAATTGAATGAAAGTAGCTCATAATTTTGCCCCTGGGGTATTTACTTTTTGCTAATGACAAGTTTCATTAGAATTATTTGCCATAATCGTTATTAAAATGATTAATTTAAATATAGAATATAAATATCAATGATACTGAAGGAATAAAAAATGTTGGTTGATACTTGGGGAAGGTGTAAACCCTAAAAAATTGATCCAGAGATGGCAATGTCAAGTAGACATCCTGACTGTTTAAACAATTATTTTGGGTGCATGGTGACACTTCCTTCCTGCTAAATTATATCTACCTGTTTCTATTTGTGATTATTGATACAAAACTTTGTTAGACTTCATCGTATATGCCCATTTGAAAATGAGTCTTAATATTATTTGAGCCTGAAATTCATAAATGGATCAATTTAACTATGCTTTCTGTTCATGATGGATGTTGGTCAGTGTCCTATGAAAATATCAAGGTTATATGCAAAGGTCAATTAGGTTCATTAGGGAGTTTAAGCCTGCATATAAAATTGAAACACCAATCTGTCCGGGGGGATAATGTGTATATAAGACATGCTACTTGAATTTATTTTTATGACTTAATTTAGTTTTTTCAAATACACGAGTTCTTGTGAATTTCTTCCATCATAAAGATATATAAATCCCCTCTCCATCCGATCCCCCCTCCATCCCAAATTAATTTATTTCGATTATTTTTTGTATAACGCATAGAAACTAACTTTAAAAAGTGAGCAATGTCATAAGTATTGTTATAATAACGTCCCTTATACTTATTTATTACAGGTCGTGTGGACCATTGTTGACTGATTTAAGGCAAAAACATTGATTTTTGCATGTTGGTGATGATGCGCCTTTTTTAATAGATCTCATATCTTAGAAGGGTATCAGTTAAAAAAAATACCTAACATATTTTCCCATGCACTGCGCCTATTCATTTGGCAATTAAAGTTGTAAATTTTCTCTTGAAAAAATAAATCTTCAAAAATTTTTCTTGCAGAAATCGCCTAATCCCCCCTCCATCATTTTTGTACGATCACCGGGCGTGACTCTAGAGTATAGGAAAGTTTATACCTGAAAAAAAAACACTTTTAAATCATGTTATTGAAATTTTAGATTTTGAAATAAGTTGAATATGTAAAGCACAATTAATTGAATTATGTGTGTTGTATCATTATTTTGGATTTTGTTAAATTTATGTTCACTTTCATAGCTGTGTTATTAATTCTCCTCAGTGAATTTCCATTTTTCACTTATTTGTGGGAGTTCAAATATTTTTTCTTTACTTATGTGCATTTAAAGAGATGCTAATGAGACTTCTCCGTGTCATTTTTTTTTCTTTATTCCTTTTTGTTTTGAATTTTTTACACCATAACATTAACTAACTACTCAATATGCAACTTTTCACCACGTAGAATTTTAAAATATTAAGTTTGAAAATTCCATTTTTATAATGGAGCTCAATGGGAAAAATGACATAATTTAGATTATTTTCAAACGTACCGGCGTGAAATTGACAGATATAATAAATATTGGTAAGACGAAATGTTTGAAGAAAAATGAAGAAAATTCACCATCCTGGTTACGCAAAATATAGAAAAACGTGAAATCATCATAAAAACCTGTAAAAATAGATTGAAGGGGGTGATATTCATTTTAATGTGCCTTTCACTACTACAGGGTAACCATAGTTTTGGTAATGGTTAACTAATTTTAAAAGCATATCTTCCAGCATGTGTATCAAGCACAAGTAATACAATAAGTGAGTTATCATTAATTGGAATGGTATTATTATATTCCTTAGCAATGATGACAAAAATGTAAAATCAATCACATTCTAGTTCTTACTATCAAATCGATCTGTTTTAATGCATATTAAACAATATAGCAGTAGATCTTCAAATTCAAGAATTGAGCTAAATTGTAAGATAATAGATAAATTGCTAATCTCTCTGTATAATCCCTTTTTCTGAATCATACTAAATTATAATATTTCGGTATGCTTATTTTAGCTGCTGTAGTTTAGGTCACTTGATGAGATATTCAGTAACATGCTGTCACTAGAGAGAAAACTTGACACTAAATAATCACTCGAAATAAACGATATGAATTCTTCATATTTTCTTACATCCATTCTTGAAAATTAGCATTCAAAGCTTTTCAATGCAATCATGAATTAGTGATCTGACCCTTAAAAAACTTTTCAGGGGGAATAGTTTGTCCACCTGTAGCCCTTAGGTGTATCATCATTTTCTAGCCATATTTTCCTAGGCCTGCTGGAATACCTATTTCAGTGTGCCACTT